TTTGGTAGCTATAACTAGACTTTTTTTTCAGTGTGCGTGTTGCATCGATCGGAAGAGATGGTAATCCGACGGTTCCAAGTCTGGAGAGTACACTGAAAAAAAAGTCTAGTTATAGCTATCAAATATTGAGTAAAATAGTTTCAACTAAATGTTGAGGTAATATAACTAAACATAAATTTACCTTTACAAATATTTAGTAAATATTACTAAACAGTATTACCAACGTAATACTTACTATATATTTGTAAAAGTAAACTTATGTTTAGTTATATTACCTCAACATTTAGTTGAAACTATTTCACTCAATATTTGATAGCTATTACTAGACTTTTTTTTCAGTGTACGCTGGATGCGGGAGAACTTCCCATTCAAGCTCTAGAAGTGCCTGCTTCACGCTTTTCGCGAAATGCGGTCGAGTGTTATTATGCAACAAAATGACTTTGCGCCGATTGTTGGCTACGGATGATCTTTTTTGCATCGATTCGTCACTCAATCGGCCTTTGGAGTAACATTTAACTGTTTCGACAACTCTAAAAGCGTTTGAGCTGGATTCTCATCAAGCAATTCTTGCAGCTTGACATCTTCAAATTTTTTCGGCTGTCCTGGACGTTATTTGTCTCTCACATCAAAATCACCATTTCGCAAGCGTTCAAACCAAACTCTACATGTTCTTTCCGATGGAGTTTCATCACCATACACTTCAGATAATAAGCGATGCGCTTCAGCTGCGATTTTATTGAGGTATGCGATTTTATCGAAGTAGTGAAAAAGTACATGTCGGAAAAACAGCTTATCGCGATTCATTTTCAATCGATTGGAAAATCTCTTTGGCGTCGAGAAATCTAACCTGTGAGAATTGAATCACTTTCAGCGATGTCTAAGCTACAAAAGACATATGACTTCATCGTCGAAACTCGCCAACGTTGGAGTCAGCACCCTCTAGTAGCGAGCGGCAGGAATTGAGTTTAACACCTAATACTATTAACGCTTAACGTTTAATACGTTTACGTTTCTTACATGTCATTAACGTAAATTACTTTTCAGTTACAGATCTCGTACTTTTTCCATTAACGTATAAATTAATTTCTATAATAATGTGTTTATTAATTTCAATACACACGTTCATCACATTTAAGACTACTGTAATTTAGTTTTTATTTATATCATTCATTACATTTAATTTCGTGCATAACCACATGCTTTCTTTACATGTTAATTAAAATTCATTGAGAAATTTCTAACAATGTAATTACGTAACGTGCAACTTACCTTTTCTTTCTTTATTTCTTTAATGTTTTTTCATCGCTGTTGGGAATAAAATAAATACACTTAAATAACAGTCAAACGCCTTTGGGTTAATAGAATTTCAATTTATTAAGTTTCTCTTTTCCCTAGCCCTCAGTGTGTCTTGATTCTCATTTACAAAGGTATTATATAGCTGTAGTGAGTAACTAATAGATAATAATAGTCGCAATCATAATAATTTGCATTCGATAATAATGACAAGTAATAATAATAGCAATCGATGGTAACACATTAATATGGACGATCGCATCATACATTTAATTATCGTCTTTTGACGTATCTATGGAAATCATTATTAATTCCGTCCGCTCGTTCGGGCTCTCGATGAACAAAAAAGAAGGTATCTTACGTATTCACAGCGATAAGAGTGAAATGACTAAATGACAAATTTATTTATTTATAACCCTGACTAGACAAGAGATGAACCCCATTATACTCCTACATGGCGCGATTCGCCGCACAGCAATTCGCAGGCTATCAGGTTAACATTGTACACGTACATAGAAACATTCGTCGCGTAACAAGCATGGAAGCGTGGAGAACGTCGCCGTGATCGACGGATGTGTATTTCGTAAAATATTTCTTGGACACTTTTATTCTCTGTAATAAGATATCCGATGCAAAAGGGCAAACCTTTATTAACATATTTCTAAAAATGATAATATATTAATATAATTAAAAATATATAAAAGAAAAATATATTAAATTATAAAGTTAGAATATTTCCTTAAATCTTTTTAAAATATTAGAGTACAAAAATATTATATAAAATAATATTATAAAATATATAGTATACTCTAATATTATAAAATATTAGAGTACGTAATATCAATATATCATATTCATAAATAACATATTATATTATCAAATGTGATTATAATGTAGAATTACTATTAATTCCTATATATTTCATCGCTTAAAAAAAATGTATATTTGATGATGTACATATGTGCAATCGATAAAAGGATAGCGATAAAATAAAAATTATCTTAAAAAGCAGACTTCTGATGATAAATAATAATTTTTTTTACACCTGTTTAGTATTAAATTTAAATCGGCGATCATTGTTTTCAATTATTGGCGACAATTACGGCACGCTTTTCACAAAACGTTAGATTTGTGAAAATCCATAATTTATATATTTTTTATAAATTACCTCCTCAGCGCGCATCAAGCCCGATAATTTTACGAGTTTTATGTAAATGCAATTTGAAAATTACTATCCCAAGCTAGCCAAGGACATTTTGTTTATTCGAAGAGACTCGTGCGACGTAGGGAGAGATGGGAGAAGGGAGAAGGCTTGAGATCGGTTAACTAATAAAGCCTTGCATTGATGATATGACAGAGAATTGTCGGCAAGGTCGACCATTATATAATTGGCCGACAAGTTCATGTTATCTGTAAAGGTAAAAATCATCTTGTTATAATTGCAAATTATAATTATGAATATTATATTATTCATGAATCTCTAATGAATATGTTATTATTTACGAATTATCTTTAATTAAATAATTTAACTTAAAACTATAATTATTGATGACAGTATAATTTAGTTTTTCATGGTTTCAATATTATATGAAAAATTATTAATCTAACTCTTTCAAAATTATTTATACCTCTAATTTTTCTAAAACAAATTTTCTGATTATATTTTTGTTGAAGCTTAATATTATATTTATCGAGATGTTAGATTTACTTTCGAATGAAGTCAGTTTTTTTTCTTTCTTGCCGACATTATCGAGTTGAAGTGCACCTGTGCAAGAGTGACATAGCTTTTTTTAGTATATCTTTGTTTTGTTTTTATTTGTATAGTCATCCACAATATTGATGATTATAGATAATCGTCGCGATGGTCTTATAAAGATGGCAACAATCGATGTTCGATGTAGTACAGACTAGAACACAACAATACGCGCACCATTTGTTCTTGAAGGTTCGCATGACAGATTTTTCTTATAATGTTCTTAAATAAAGTTATATTATTAATCTAAATATATTACATTATAATGTAATAAATTATCTAAATGTATTACATTATAATGAAATGATCGGTCAAAAATTTATCACTGATTTACATAAAACTAGTACTGAATATATTCATTAATCTTTGCATAAGTTTAGGTAGTTACATTGCAGATATATTTTTAATATTTGCATAATAACATTATCTAACAGAAATATATAAATGTGATTATCTTGCTAAATTAAAATATTAAATTTGCAATTAAAATATTATTAAAATATTTAATTAAAATATTAAGTTAATTATTTCCAAAATGTGCATTCTGAAGATTTTAATTTAAGAACTGATATTACAGAAATATCGAAATTTGAAATAGTTTCGGTTTTACATAAGCGAATAAAATTAAATATCAGTACTCTCTCTGATAAAGTTTGCGCGCTAGTTAGGGCCATAATCATGTCTACTCGATATACTGTATTAATTTTCACAATTGAGTTAACAATGATCTTTACTGAATAATCAATTTTGTTTCTCTTTAGTTTGTTACGTAGCGAGTATAGAAATCATCATAGTTTAATATGAAATCAGAATGCTTAATTTGTATTTATATGTATATATTAATTATTACTTATAAAAAATTGAAAATGTTTAAACATAATTTTATTTGCAAATTTTGTTCTGGATAGGAAACATGAATAATGGAATATTTATGCAAGAAACAATATTATATTTCAATGATCTGCTTTTGAGTTTCCCTCGAAAAAATAGTGATCTTTACATTTTGATATATAAATTAACACGATAAGCAGCATTAGACCCGGCAGTGATGATAATGCCAATTACTATCAACAAGGAACATCATTTAAGCGCCAATTTTTCTATTTATGAAATATGTTATTAACTGAATTGTTAATAGAGGATGATAACTAGTTAGAAAAAGACAGAAGTTAAATAATAAAGTTAAAAAGTTAATAACGTATGATTCAATTATTTTCAAATGAGTTAACTTTTAATTTTTAAATCAGAGTTGCTTCATTTTAATCATAAAATTAAATGATGATAACAAAATTTTTATTTTGTTTTTTACAAAAAATATTTCACTCGTTTTTTAAAATAAATATTTAAACTTTATTAAAAGAAAATTATAATATTTTTAATTATAAAATTAATTTACTCATTTTACATATACATATAATTTATCTTTTAGAAAAATGTAAAGAGATTAAATTAATTATTATGTAAAATTATTCAAAAATGATACGTAAATAAATTCAACGACTCTTCTAATGTAATACGATTTTCGTCTAAAACTTGTTTCTTCGATTAACTTCACTGTAATAAATCATTTCATTAGATTTGATAACTCATAAGACACTTATACAATATCATATTGGATTTTATTGTACAGTGATTGCGTAGAATGCCATCACAATATTCTATATTTAAAAAGAAAAGTATATAATCAATTAATGTATAGAGCTGATTAAAGATACTATAATATTCTCCTAATAAAATTTAACTAATTTTGGAAAAAAACGGAAAAATAAAAATTAAAAATAAGGAATGGAATAATAACTGTAGCATTGCTTTTAGCTTTTTGACCAAGGTTAAATAAAATAACAAAATAAGCAAGTATAATGATAATTAGCTTTTTGAACTACGTCAAAAATAATAAACAATAAGGAGCATATAGGCCAAACTGCAAGATGTTATTGCAAATTATCTATTTATCATAATAATTTAATTTAATTTTTGTAAATTAACGTCTATCTAGCAATTTGTTGTACTGAAGATGACTGGATAACAGTTGAAAGATTTACATGTATTTAAATAATAAATAGAATATAATTTGCAATAACATCCTGCGGTTTGGTCTATATGCTCTTTATTATCTATTATTTTTAACAAAATAAGGTTTGTGTAAGCAACTAAAATAAAATTAAGGTCAATAAACAAGCGAAAAAAATAAAATTAGTAGCAATAAATCATAAAATCAAATTTATTAAAATAATCGATAATGATATAACGAGATGTTTCGATTTTATTTAATTGTCTTCGGTCATAATACAATAATTTAAAAAAAATAGAATAAAAATTATAGGATCGATTGGAATTTAATATTTAATATAGTTATAGAACAAAAATAAATACTATTAGAGGCTAATACTATTAGAGGCTTATACCTATAGAGGCTATTTTTAATAAAAAAGAGTCTCATTATGCATAATTGATTTTAATATATTTGATATCTTAGAATGCATTTGTTTTAGAGCAGTGACAAAAGCTATAAGACTGACGATAAGAGCGATGATAAAAGCTAATTAAATATATCTTACTTTGATGTTTGTAATAGTATATTTCTTTATCTGTTAATTAAGGTAAATTGTTTAAAAAAATGATTGACTCTTAGGAGAAGAATTATTATTATCTTCAAACTTTCAATATTACAAAACGCTTGAATGCGTTTGCGTAAAGACGTCAATATTCTGCACATCTTATTAAGTATTATCTAGTCTGCTAGTTGTAATTTTCCTCATTATGTAAGATGTTATTGCAGATACTTTTCGAAATCTAACACACGTCAAAAATTACTTTTGGACTTGAAATTGAAATATTGTGTTGTTCATGTTTATTGTGATTCTTACTCCTCATTTCATAACTATTTGTATAGTGCGTAACGTTCGGCTTTAGGACTGAACTAGTCAGAAATAAAAATTAAAAAATTTTGACGGTGTTATTCACAAACATTTTCCAGTACTTAATATTTAAAAATAATAGTAATTCTTTTTCTAAATCACTCATTTTCGAGAATAATATTGGATCAGTGCAAAAGTTCGTTCTCGATTTATTATTCAAACTTCAAACAGCTGCTATTTTTGTTAAAAATAAAATAAAATCTAAATCTTACTCTATCTGATGAGAGAATTTAAGTTTTCTAGAATCTATTTTTAAAAATTGTGATAGTTTTGATAGAGTTATGAGCAAAGTCAAAATATTGATTTTATTTAATTTGCAACAACTCAGTAACAAAAAATCATAGAAACATTTTTAAAAAACGATTTTGTAGGGAAAGCTTCAAGCTTTTACGACAGGGTCGAAAATTTTTTCAAATTTTTTTTGGACACGCTATAGATCTACAAAGTGAAAAGAAAATTTTTCATTTTTTTTTCAGCTCGTAGTTTTCTATATGTAAAAATTACAAAACTCACATAAACTCAAAAAATATAGTAACTATTCAAAAGTAAAGATTTCAAGCTTTAAAACCCTTTTTTAAAATTTAAATTTCGTTTATTTTTAACAAAATTGCAGCTGTTTGAACTTTGAATAATAAATCGGGTACGAACTTTTGCACTGATCCAATATTTTAGTTAATAGTTATAAATATGTTATCACAACTCTATTATAAATATACCGAAGAAAAATATAGATTTTTTAAATTAGTTTTTATCGCCGCTCTTATAGCTTTTATCACTGCTTCAACATAAAGAAACACTTAAGCTCAATTTCTTCACTTCCAAACAAGTTGCGGATAATTATCCTTATGCAGGAGATATCTCCATTGCACTCTGGGATCTATCTCTTGGATTATCTAGAGATAAAGAAATTGGACATTACACAATATCGTATTAGAATTTTTTAGAGTAATTCACAGAATATCATGTTATAATATCCTATTTTTAG